GAAGTGTGCCAAACCAACCTTCATCCTTCATTCCACAGAAGGGCTAGAGATTGGGCCTAGAGACCCACCCGCACCCTCACTGTCACTGGCAGAAGCTGGCAAGGCAAGGAGTAGAGGTGGGGGATGGGCAGGTGGCAAAAGGCCAGAGCAGAAGCCAAAGTTGCCTGTAAGAACCATGGATGCCCCAAGACCCCCTGCTTCTGCATCCCCTGCACAGACCTAAGGCCACCCTGCATCCCTGCCCCAGGGAACAGGGGGTGGGGAAGGTTCCTGCCACCCTTCTCTGGCCCCTCTGTTTTTTGGCCTCACTATCCTGTGGGAACTTTGCCCAAGGAGTCTGGAAGAGCTTTCTTTGAAATCCCAGTTGGGGGGTGGGGATGTCAGTCAGTTGGTACTGTGCTCACTCGCCTACAATGTGCAAGGCCTGTGTTCCATCTGTAGCATAGACGGAACAGGTATACCATGTATACCATGATTACATGCCTGGAATCCAGGAATTGAGGAGGTAGAGGCAAGAGGAGCAGAAGTTCAGAGGCATTCTTGCCCATCTGAAAAAAGAAAAGAAAAGGAAGGGAAGAGAAGAGAAGAGAAGAGAAGAGAAGAGAAGAGAAGAGAAGGGAAGGAAAAAAGAGAAAGGAAAGGAAAGGAAAGGAAAGGAAAGGAAAGGAAAGGAAAGGAAAGGAAAGGAAAGGAAAGGAAAGGAAAGGAAAGGAAAGGAAAGGGGAAAGGGGAAAGGGGAAAGGAAAGGAAAATCCCAGTTAGAAATGCCCTCAATGAGTCTGCTTTCTGAGCCTCCTCAGTTCTCAGCCCTGGCTGGTTTTCCCTGGGCCTTGCCATGGCCAAAGATAGACCCTATTCCTGTTCACAAATAGATCCTTCTCATCAGGTTGGGGTGCAGGTAGCCAGGTGTCTGGAGCTACACAGACTCTCAGCTGCACCAATGAGGTTGGTGGAATGAAGGGCTGCTTGGGGCTTCTGAGAAACCCTTCCAAGATGAATACAGCTGCCCCTAGGCTCAACTTCCCCATCTGTTAAATGGGTTCCATCCTCCTGCTCACCAACTGGGTCATAAAGAAAAACAGCTGGCAGGGTATCCGATGTGGAGGAGAGTATCAGGTTGGGAGGGAAGCAGCCACTAAACGTTCCTCCGGTACGATCCAGGCTCCCTGCTGACAGCCATCACCTGTACGACAGATGCAGGGGTGTGCTGCCTCAAGGGAAGGTGGGGAACCCTTCCTGACAGAGCATCAAACTTGGAGGCACAGGAGGGGGGCATTGGTAGAGGGCTTGCCCAGCACATGGGGGTTCCACCCCAGCCCCACATAAACTGCATGCTGTGGTATAACCCAGTGATTCCAGCATTCAGAAGCTAGAGGCAAGTGGATCAGGAGTTCAAGGCCATCCTCTGCTGCACAGTGAGTTTGAGGCCAGGCTAGGCTTCAGGAAACTCTATCTTAAAACAAAAACCTGGGGTTGGGGTGGGGGCAGATGGATGGCTCCCCGGGTGAAGGTACCAATCCCCAGGAGTCACATAGTGAAAAGAGAAAACCAGCTCCTGAAAGTTGTCCTCAGAATTCCACATGATACTTGAGCTAAACAACCACAACACCATTGTGCCACAGCCCTGCCCTGGCAGCCCCCTGATGCAGGCATTGTTGGCGCCTCATTTCATTAATGAAGATTCTAAAAGGTAGAGTAGACCTGGAGTCAACTGCCAGCCTGCTGGATGCCTAGGCAAAGCTCTCAGTAACTACTGCTGGAGCTGTCCTGGCAAGCTCCGCCACCGCAAGGCTAGAGGCTGGACCAGCAACATCCCGGCCTGCCCAGCTTCGCTCCATAGTTTATCTACCCTCATCCCATCCTGGTCCAGCAGCCAGGAAAGGAGCAGGGCTAGTAAATAGATGGATGTTCCCACATCTGTGGACAGAAATGGCAGTTTAAACTATTGCCTAGGCTGGGGCAAACCCCAAACCAGTGCTTGCTCCCTGTGTCTCCTGGGCAGCCCAGTGTCTGTGAGAGACTGGAAATGAGTGTAAACCCCTGCTCTTCTGTTTGAGCTGATCACCTGAGCCAAGAGCATCCTTGTTCTGGCCTCAGTGTTGCCATCTGTATAACGGACTGAATGACAATCTGCTGACTTCCACACCCCGGTCGTGAGAACTAAATTGAGATAATGTGTGGATGTCACAAAAAGCTGTCCATAACAGTCTGTAAAATGAGTAAAAGACCAGATGAAAGCCCGACTTTTAAGGTATTCTCTCTTTGCATTTGCAGTGACATCAAGATAATGCCTTGGCCAGAGAAAAGCAGCAGGGCCTGAGACATCAACGAAGGGCACCTACACAGGCCACAGAGTGGCTGCAGGGCAAATGATCAGAATTCCCGACTGCCAACAGCAGCCCACACTTTAAAAAAAAAAAAAAAGACTGCAAGTCACAAAGTGCAAGGCCAACAGTACCACCCATATGAGGAAGAAAATGGAAATGGCAGGGCTGGGGTGTGGCTCAGTCAATGGTGAGTGCTGGGCTTCGCAGGGGTGATGTCCTGGGTTTGATACCCATGCTTGGTGAAACATGCCAGTAACCCAGCAGTTAGATAGTAGACACAGGAGAATAGGTTCAAGATCATCGTCAGCTACATAGCAAGCTTGAGGTCAGCATGGGCTAAATGAGCCCTCGTCTCAGAAATAACACCAACAAGGCGTACTGTCTTTGGCACCCTTCAATGGTAATTTATGATGTCCTAGACCCATTCCCTCTTCTTCTCACTCTCTCTCCTTCCCCCCACCCCATCCAGTTTCCAGTTCTCAAGCATCCCTAGATCAGCAGGATTCTCCAAGGTCCACACATTTCATGTGATGCCCCCAGCAGCGCTCTTGCCAGGGCACAGTACAGAGCCTGGGAGGCATGGCTGTGGCTATCCTGAGCTCCAGGAGCCTTGCCACAAGGCTGCCCATCCCTCTTCCAGGACTTCACCTGGAGCTGTAGCAGAAACTCCTGTAATGGTGTTGTACTGTCTCGGGAACAAGGCCCCGCTAAATTCTGGCTATGAGCTACAAGGTCCCATTCTGAGCCAGCCCAGGGGACCTTGAAGAAAACACAAACCAAGGACGACCTGGGGGCCTCTAGCATGGATCTTCTCCTGCCTGCCTGGGATGTGTGGGAGAGGAGGGGTAGACTTGGGTCTGTCTTCCCCTCCTCCAACTCAAGGTCTTCAGCTCCCTAGAGTCAGTGAAGACCAAGGGCATGTCTGAAGGTCAGCTAAGAATGAACTCCACACGGTGAGTATCGGGCACTGCAGAGGATGGAAGGGAACACTTGAGAGGAATGGGAATAGTTGCCTCCTGATTCTGTCCAACCACTGGTCCCAGATAGGGCTGGGATGAACAAGAGAGGTAAGGGCCTAAAAGGCATGTGAAGGCAGGGAAGGGAGGATCTACACAGCCAGGAGCTCGAGCGAGGTACTGGCTCAGGCACAGTGCACCGCTTATCCTCTGGGCCTGGGCGGAGGGCTCCAAGGGCATCTGCAGGAAGCCTGGGTCCCTTGAGCCAGGGAAAGAAGGGGAGAGCAGAAGAAAGGATGAAGCCTGAGAAATGAAAGTCATGAGCTAAAGTGGCAGCTGTTGGTACAGTGCTCACCTGACAAGCACAAAGCCCTAGGTTCAATTCCCAGGATCCCATAAACCATGCAAGATGACACAGCTCTATGACTAATCCTAGCACTGGGGAGGTAGGGGCAGAAGAATCAGGGATTCCAGGTCAGCCCTGAACTACACACGAGAGAAAAGAATGAAAGCCACCCCCCCCCTCAGCTGGCCCAGATCCACAGTACCTGGCCTCATTGTACCTCCGAGCCATGGTAAGTGTGTAGGCTGGGCCCATAGGGACACATACCAGGGTCGGGGAGCAGAGCTGCTCAGTATTGGCCCTCAGGCCTCTGGAGCCTCAGGCCCTTCTCCCTGTGGGCACTTTCATTCTTCCACCTGCAAAACCATCCCAGGGCAGGGCTAGGAAGATGACTCAGTCAGTAACATGCTTGGCAGGGAAGCATGAGGACTTGAGTTCAGGTCTCCAGAATCCATAAAAAAGCTAGGCAAGTGCCTATAATCCCAGCGCTGGGGAACTGCAGGCAGGGGGATTCTCCAGCACTTGTCAGCCAGGTATTCGAGCCAAATTAGTGAGCTTGAAAACATTTCTTTAAAGCCCATAGGACTCAAATAAAGGCAATATGGAAGTGTACAATCCTCCCAAGCTAGCAAGTGTCTTGGTGGGGTGAGCTTGGGTAGGGTGTATCTGGGCTCTCAGGTCCACCTCCCACTCTCTGGGAAGCAAAGCTTTGTGACGCAGTGTCTGTGAGACAGATGACAGAGCTGACTAGATCGCTAAGTCGTACCGAATGGTGGCTGAGCTGCAGTAACTGCTAAGGCCATCACTGACTCTCAACAGTTGAGATCCATGGGCGAGGGTAGTTAACATACCCACCACCATGTCTGCTTATCATCTAATGACAGGGTCTGAGTCTACTCCCTCGGAATCACCTCTGTCAGAACCTAGAGGTGAGCACGGAGGTCTGGGATGTGGAATAGAGAGCTCGCCTGCCAGGCTGTACACACTCCCTTCCTCAGTGGCCTGGAGGCTTAAGTGGCACCAAAGAACGACTCACAGGAGCCAATCTCTTTCCGCTATGTGGAACCCGGGGCTCAGACTCAGGTCACTAAGGTTGTCATCAAGTACCACAGTATTTTTGAAAAGCAAAGAGATCCAGCATTGGTGGAACATAACTAGTTGGGGGCTGGAATGGTAAACAAATGTGTAATTTGCTAATTGCCTTTCAGTTGGTCTTCTGCCATCTCTTCTAGCTCACTGCGTGACGTGTGTCGGGCAAGGGCCCTGAGAGTGTAGAGAGCAGTCCATGGGGACTGCTGGCATCAGAACTGGACATCTGGACCGACGCCCTCCTCCCAGCCGCCCACTGCCCCAGACATGACACAAGGTGGAAGGCCTGTGGCACTCCATCTTTTATTGTCTTAAACTGTACACGAACGTAAAATACTTAAGACAGCCAGTCTGTGGGGGAAACTGTTTGGCTTTAAGTTATTATGAAACAGAACCTAAGGAGGGCTTTATTAAATAAACTAAAGATGAGACTTACAGATACACACCTGCATTCTACCAGTCATTTATTTTACTCTACCTTCTGGGTGTGTACGGACAGAAATGACACACCAACTGAATAAAAAAAATTTCATTTATACCCTGAAATGCTGGCAGGCCACTCAAGGGATTGCTTAGAACATCCACCTCATAGGAGATGGCCTCACCATCTAATAAAAATTAAAACTGATCCGCTGGCCTCTTTGGTTCCAAAATTATGTATAATACATTTAACTGTATTCATTTTTCTGCTGCTATAAAAATAACTTTTTTTCAAATGGCAGTTTCTGACTAACCATGCAACTAAATCAGTGCAAACATTGAAAGCAATCATTCGCTTAGAAAAGAAGCAAAGGATTTCATTTCAAGTATAAAAATATAAAAGAGTCGTACGAGTCCAGTTTCGCCTAGTGTGGGTCAACCCTTTAAATTGCATAGTTCGCGTGGCACTCGCACATCCACAAGGACAGCCACGGCAGCTCTTGCCCCAGGGCCACTTCTGGACACACGGAGGCCTGCAAGTGCTACTGTCATGTGCGCTCACGCAGGACCGCAAGTGCTTCGTGGGGCGGACAGGCAGGCAGGCAGGCAAGGGAAGTGGGCAGGAGCCATGTGCACGGACAACCCCTGGGGCCAGAGCCCACCCACAGGGACAACTTCTGCAAAGCAGCCGAAAGCTCTGTCTCTCCAAGACCAGCTAAGCAGCTCCCCGGAACTCCTCCACTCTACCCTGCCTCCTCTGGGCTCTTCCCTTTGCCTAGTGGTCACCCCCTGCCCCTCTCACCATGGCGCTAGGATGTCCCCAGCAAAGGGCACTGATTGCAACATTTTTTCTTTCTCACTTAGAGATCGCTCGGCCTCTCCACTTCAAAGGTCATAGCCGATAGGCTCTTTTCAATTCTGCGACTGGCACAAATGCCCTGTCAGTTGTTGGGAGACAAGTTTAAAGCATAAAATTAAGACCCTTCTTCTCCCCCCGCCCCACCCCTGAAAACAAACACACATACACACAAGTCACACCAGGGACCCAGATGATAGACAGTCAAAGGGTCACTGTCCCTGCTCCATGGTCTCTGTGACGGGCGAGTCCCTCCTGGGCTATTTGCCTTCTCCAAGAGCAGGGTGGCACAGCTCTGCTGGCCTCAAACCATGGAGGATGCTGGGCGGGGAGTGAGCAGGCAGACTGCACCAGGCGCTGCGGCGAAGAGACTGGGACCAGCCAGGGGCACACGGCCCTCCGCCCGCCCGTGCTCCCACCCTGCGTTTCCTCTTGGTGGCTCTCTGGCTCACTCTCTCTGTGTCCTCTGTCTTTGTGCTTTTATGTGTGCTCAGAAGGCGCAATTCAGAGTCCCCAGCCAGCTGGTGGGAATGGTGGCTGCTCACCCCATTCTCTCCGACTGACAGGCATTGGTAGCTAAGCTGCCATTTGTCACCGCATCCGTTCGCTGGTATCCTGGAGGCTGCTGTGTGGGTGGCAGGCTGCATGAGTCTGGCTATGTGTGTCTATGTGTGCAGTTAGGAGTCTCTCGTGTCACACGAGGGTCTCCCTCTGGTTCTGACTGGTTTTCTACGAAGCGGGAGAACATTATTTCAGGCCTCACCCTAGCACTCTTCATGGCCCAATGGAGCAACCGCACTCAGCCCGCCTGCCTCTCCTGCTCCCTCAGAGACCCATGGGCCCGTGCTCTGCACCCATCACCACTGTCAGGCGCAGCCACACTCCTCCACGATCATGTTGGGCACGTCCCGCTTGACGATGTTGTATTCGTCATCAAAGTAGAGCATGGACATAGAGCTCAGCTTGGTGGGGATGCAACAAGAGTTCACGGGCCCAGGGTTCAGGCCGCGCATGCGGTACTGGTTCACCACAGCGGTGTGGAAGGAGGAGGCCGAGCCGGGGACCCCAGCCAGGTAGGCCGGGCAGCTGCCCTCACAGTAGTTCCCGTAGTAGCCAGTGGGCGCAATGATCCAGTCGTTCCAGCCGATGAGCCGAAAGTCGATGAAGAACTGTTGCCTGCAACACAGGCTGGTCCTCCCATCACACTCTAGACCCCGTTTGCGGATGCGATGTCTGCTATCACCCAGGCGGGCCTGCACCACCACAAAGGGCCTGTGCGACTCCTCCCCGGGGTCCACGAACACAGGCACCACGGCTAGCTCCTGGCAGCTGTCGCACTGCACGTCCAGGTTGAGGCGTCTCTCGCCGCGCTCAAACAAGGCCTGGATGGCCTCTGTGATCGGGAAGGTGTGCCAGCCGCTCCGCTTCAGGTCCACCTTCTTCTCCACCGCGTTCCACCTGTCACCGTGACCCTGTTCCTGGAAGTACACCTTGACCCGGACCTTCCTCCGGCTGCCCTTCTCCAGGACGTACGGGAGCAGTTTCAGGTACAGCCACAGGCTGGCCTGCACCACAAATAGGTTCTGATTGCCTTCGTTAGAGACGAAGAAATACAGGCGGACCCGGGAGGAGGCGAGGCCATCTGTGAAGACGGGGAAGAACAGGCCACGTTAATTCCATGAGAACACAAGGCAACGGGGAATGGGCTCCGCTTCGTGATGCTGGAATGAACACTCACCACAGCTGGAAAGCGTTACTGACCAGAAATACCATTCTTGGGGCCCAGGCCTCTGCCATAACCTGCCAGAGGCAGAAGACTCACTTCCCATTGAGAAAACAGGACCAGGGTGGAGCCAGGGTCCAGACCTATAAAAACCCTGCCTCACCTCTCCCCGGCCAGGGCTCCCTGGAGATCGGATTGTCAGGCCTCAAAGCTCAACTTGTCAGGAGGCCAAAATCTTAACAAGTTGTTATGGGGCTCTGAAAACAAAACCAAGATCCCAGGGAGGATTTGGAGGTAGGGTGTTTAAATGAGGCTTTTTCTTTTTCTTCTTCTTCTTTCTGGTTAACTTAGGGCATTGCAAAATCAAGCCAAGCCACCTCCAGCCTCTCTGCAGTGTTTACCTAAGCTCGATCTGCTCCAGCCCCACTGGGTCCTCCACTGCAAACAAGCAGGCTCTGCTCGGGTTTCTAACAGAGAAGCGTGCGTCCTGCAAGCTGCAAAGTGCAGCCCCTGTTTCCAAGGAGTTCCCAGGGACAGGACAGTCAGCCTGGAAAACTCAAGGTCGGATCCTTTGACCAGACCCCAACTCCCAGAACACTGCAGGCAGTTCAAGATCTCAGAGGGGGCAGGGGTGGAGTTTCGAGTTGTCTCAACATTTCAGTTCAGCCAGAAGAATAGTTATGCCAGACAAGAGATGAAGCGCCTCTCTCGCTGTCCATTTCGTCAGCCCTTCCCTCTGACAGTCTCTACCTGTTCTGCAGACACGGCTGGTACAATGAGGCCTCCCCCGCCCCCACCCCAGCCCCTTCCTCAGTTCTCACTGGCTCCTCTAATAACACTGACGTCTGACTTTGAAATGGGGGAAACGGCAGCCTTAAAAGCTGGTCTTGGCCGAGCTGCCTGTGACCTGAATCTGTTATTTATAAGTCAAAGAGCTGGCTCCGTGAATCGGACCAGAAATATAACAGCCCCCGCTGTCATTTTGTGCCACCAGGACCAAAAGGCCTCTCGACCTTCCCGAATCACGTTTCTACTCTGGGCCCCAATGCACCTTTTAATCCAGGCCCTCTAATTGCATGCCGAGCCTTCCCTGACTCTGGCAGACAGCTAAAACGGCAATGGATTTCTTTCTAAGCACAAACCAGCCTTGATTGTCTCTGCCTTTCTCCACACCCGGCCATGCAAAACTTTTCATCCCTTTTTATCCCCGGCGGCAGCACAGGCAGGGTCTGCCTGATGCCTGAGAGAGTAGGGGGGCATTTGCAGCCAGGAGCATACGGCTCCCCCCTCCTCTTCCCAGGCTCCCTGCTTGTCCCCACCCTGACTACATCGGGCTTCCCCCTCTGCGACCTTCTCTGCAGTCCCCTCTGCACAAATGGGGCTGAGCTCCCAGCACAAAAGCCAGCCTGGCGCATTCAAGTCCTGAAAAGGACAGCGATGTCTAAAGCACTTAACACCGTTTCTGCCCGGGAAATTTTCCTCCGTTTTAAACTTCCAGAAGATTTTATTTTTCTCTCTTTCTCTGATTTTTATATTTAGATAGTGGACAGAGATTTGCAAAACGGGGCCAGGGAGGACACTGCAAAAGGGAATCCCACTCTTTGTTAACTATAAACTCTGCCCCTCTCTCCCGGACTAGAGAGGGCTGCTCTTGCTGCCAGGCAAGCCTAAAGGCATGGGGCTGTTCCTGAGCCGCGTCTTTGCGTAAATGATGGACCTGTTGAGAAGCTGCCTTCCGCCCGACTCTTGGTGCCCACACAATCGGAACGGAGGTTGCCTAGCTCTCCCCACCGAAGCTTCAGCAATCCTGGCAAGCCCATGCCGCCGGGCGAAGCAAGCGGCCCCAGGGGCCGCCCGGCCTCCCTCTCTCTCTCCCCTTCCTTCCTCTCTCCCTCCTCTCTCTTTCCTCCCCTCTCCTCTCTCCTCTCCGGCCCACGTATATCAACAAGCACACACATCTCCATCTACACTGCTAAGCCTACACTCGGATCGTGGGAAACAAAAACATTAAGCAATCACCAAGCAAGTGCCCGCAGAGCCAGGGCTGCGCGCATCTGCCGGGAGGGGGACGCGCACCCAGAGGCGCTGGGGCCCAATTCCTGTAAGCCGGGATGAAGGGCAAGGTGCTGCAGAGAGTGGCTGCAGAGAGAGGGAAGCCGCCAAGGGTCTGCGGTCTGGGCGCGGAGGGTAGGGAAGGACTGCCACCCTGGGACGCGCGCAAGGCCACCTCAGAGCGGCCCTGCCCGGAGCCTGAATGCCCTCGGGGCGTGCGGGCTGCAGAGGCGGCGAAGGCGGCAGCAGCTTCCCGGGAGAAGGAAAAAGGGAGGGATCGCGGCCGCCTCCGGCTCCCCCACGGCCGAACCCACCTGTCTCGGCGAAGCTGATGATCTCGGAGACGCGCTCCTGGCCGTCGGCGCCGGGGCTGGCGTGGCCGTCGAGGTGCGGGATCTCCACGCGGCCGTCCTCGCGCACCTTGCCGGCGTGCAGCTTGCGCAGGGCCGTGACCATGGCGGCCTTGGGCACGGCGTGCGTGATGTTGGGCCGGCCCCGCAACTGCAGGCGGCTCAGGATGTGCCTCTTCACCGCCTCCAGGAAGTCGCCGTCCACCCGGCCCAGCTCCTCCGGCCGCCGGAAGCCGCCGCCGCCGCCGCCGCACGACGTACAGGTGTCCGGCGAACCGCCGGGAGCTCCGGGCGGCGGGGGCGGGGGCGGCGCGGCGGGCGACGGCGGGGGCGTGGGGGAGCCCCAGGCCTCGGGCCCCAGCCAGCCGGCCGCCAGGAGCAGGAGGCAGGCGGCCCCCAACGCCCGACCGGGCAGCCCGTCCATGGTGCGCCGCTGGCGACGAGGGCGCCCGCCGCGAGGCGAGGCGCAGCGAGCTCAGGGCCGGGCTCC